GAGTTATTTCCTTTTCTGAGAGTTTAGTGCATTTTATTAAAATCCCAGATTCTACTGGCAAGTCTGGAATAAAACAAAGATTTTCAGTGTAAACTTTCCAACTAGAGAGAGCTGTTACTTATTAGGTGACACTGACTTCCCTCAGGCTTTGTATTCCAACAGACTATCTTTTCAAAGAACATTTCATAGAATCACAGAATGATTTGGGTCAGAAGGTACCTTTAAAGATCACCTAGTCCAACCCCCCTGCCTTGGGCAGGGACATCTTCCACTAGACCAGGTTGCTCAAAGCCCCATCCAACATGACCTTGAACACACCCAGGGATGGGGCATCCACAACTTCTCTGGGCAACCTGTTCCAGTGCCTCACCACCCTCACAGTGAAGAATTTCTTCCTTATATCCAATCTAAATCTACCCTCTTTTAGTTGTGTTACGTGTTTGGGAGGTGGGTACAGAAGTCATGAGTGCCAAGCAATTTCTGTTCCTTAGACTATCAATTAATTAACACGAATCAATATTTAATACACAATGTTTCCTCATTATAAACTATCTTTGGAGTTTCATTCTGGGGGGTTATTGCTTAAGTTTTGTTACGTGTTTCGGAAAGCAATTCTCTTAGCCAAAACTATTTTTTTAGTGGTCTACAGTTGCATTACTGAAATAAAAGACCAAAAGCTAGCGTATCTAAACATTCCCATAGTTCTTACTACTTTAAATCGGTGCTTGATTACTTAGAACTCTTTGAAAGCAAGGCTCTTCTTCAATAGCCTAAGAGCAGGTTCTGTTCTTAGAACTGTGGTCACTGTAATCAGTTTACAAAATCCACTCTCTCTCCCCCCAATGAATGGCCCCCCCCTTGCATCCGTTGGGGAGCACAGCACATGGCCACGGTACCCATATATAAGTTTATCTTTTCAAAATGTCTTTCAGACAATGGATGTCATGAGTAAAAATTGAAAGGAGACCAATATTAAGCACTAGGAAATGAAATTTTAAGTAGGCTGGGTTCAATTCTTAAAACTAATTAAGTGCATGACGTGGTTCCAGAATAACGGTTTTACTACTGACTCCCTTATCCTGCAACAGTTACTGTAAATTCTGTTTCTGGATGAACCCGAGTAATACAAGCATACAGGAACTTAAGATTTGTGGGACTAGCTTTGGTGTCCTTATTCATCCATTTTTACACATGAATGAAATTCAGCAATCATATAAAGACCCAAATCGAGTGTGGCGGAGTTCAACTCCTTCTATTTAGCCACAGTGCTTTGCAACTTTAACTATACATGAATGAAATTCAGCAATCATATAAAGACCCAAATCGAGTGTGGCGGAGTTCAACTCCTTCTATTTATAGGCACAGTGCTTTGCAAATTTAACTATTCCACTGACACGCCCTTACCCTGAAAGGAACCATATATAACATGTAAATAGATTTAATGCCCCAGTGCCGAGTCCCGGCTACATCGCTTCTACTGCTAAGAGCATTGGGCCTGCCACCTCTGACAAAAGGAGCCTCTACAGCTGGGAACTTGATTGACGAATCACGTCTGCAGAGCTGGTCCTCAGGATGAGAAACCAGTGCGCAGCGTGTCTGGGCTCAGCATCGCTTAAAACTTACTTTACCTCAGTGCTACCTGTGTTACGCCTGCAATTCCACGTGCCAGTAACAAACCGTTTCTTTATTGCAACAGATTTCAGGAATACTCAAATAAAACCTCTTATCAGCAGTACTGACAGTCTAATCACGCCACCAAATAGCCATGTGCCATTCAATTCAGTGTGCAGGTGACAAACAAAGCTCTTCATTCTGAACCAACCAGGAAAGGTTTTCCTGTGACGAGTCTCTGCAGTAGTTAGACAGACATGACTGTCTTAACTTAGAAAATTATTTTTAAAAAATGAGTTTAAGAAAGAGTTACCACTTGCAGCACTGAATAGTCTCATACAACCAATCTGCAGGACACCATGGAATTAACACCAACAATACACTCCTGTCAATCCGGTGCCGTGCCAAAGAGAAGCCCGCAGATTACTTGGTAGCCTACCCGAATTTGTGTTACTTGCTTAACTCTATCACGGAGATATACCCTTTTGCTGTAATGAAATGCTGATTGACATCCTAAATGTAAGCACTAGCAGATACCATGTACTGTCAAACTAACGGATGGCTGAAGGAAAGGGAGCATTAAATACCGCAGCTCCCCTCACTGATTTTTCCAGAGAATAAACATCAAAGATTACACGAACATCATGGCAGCAAGTGGTGCAGGATACGAGCTACAACTGTGTCATGCAACTTCCCAGTTATCAAAAAAGGGAAGCAAATGAAAACCGGTATGGCACGCACCTAGCACAGCTCATCTCCAGCAACAAAATCTTTTTTTCTTCCCCTGCACAGCAAAAGCAGAAAACAGCAAAGCAACGTTGGGAAAGGTTGATAAAAAAGTTACAGAGGACCAGGATTCCTAAATTGTTTGGGTGGGGGGAGGAGGCAGTTAACACCAAAAGCAGCAAGAAGTGGCTATATACAGCCCTTGTTTCTTAAGTGTACACAAGAACTGTTAAGTTTCCATTCCCTGCTCCCAGTAGAAACCACAGCCCAATGTCTGCGTCAAGGCAAGCATGTCGAAAAAACCCACACAGACTTCGACAAAATGACTGATCACTGCGCATTCCACACTTGCAAGTCTCAAAAGGCCACGAGACACACCACCCGTCCACCAAAGCTAGCAGCGTGCGACAAACAAGTAAAATGCAAGAACCTCCTTTCCAACATGTGCAAAGCTGTACGGTGTCTCTGCGTACTTTCATTTCCTCTTTTTACTCATTGTTCTTAAGTTTCGGGGGCTTAGATTATTTTTTCCAAGTGCTTTTCTGCTCCAAAAAGTGCACACTGTCTGGTGTTTTATTACAAAGATACGGGAAAGATGTACTTCTGAAATTATTTTTTAGTTTTTTCAAATCAAGATTTCCAATGAAACTCATAACAAACTGATTATACACTTCTCACCTTTTTTTATTTTGAGAACATATTTGAAAAATCTACATGTATATCAGCTCATTACCGTAAGACATCAGTAAGGCTGAGTTGAGCAAGAAGTGAAAGAGCAGAGCACATTTGTTCCTGTGCTCTCACTGTTGTGAAGGGCGAAACCAATGACGTTAAGTCACACATTTTATTTCTTTATTAGACATCTCAATCAACAGAAGGGGCTCACAGCTACCATTAACTGGTACTAGGTGTGGTAGAGGGATGATGTAAATGAAGGGAGCACGTAATCAGTTAATTACTTCTAGACAAAAAAATTCAACATTAAAAACCCACCTTGCTGCAGGAGGCGTAAAAGAGGACCATTTCATTACAGAAAGCAGCTGTTAGCAAAAGGCAGCTCCCACTCTTTCGTCAAGTGCTTCGCTGCCTTTTGCCACCCATCTAATTTAGCAGTTAAGTCATTTGGGAAGGCAAAAACACCGCTGCCACACAGGAAAGAGACATGGAGTGGCGGAACCACCGAAAGGGAAGGATGCCAGCAATTTATGAGGCATCTTTAATAATGCTTACTCATAAAAATGGGCTGGCTTTTTTTCTAGACAGTTTTGCAATACAGTGTGAATAAACTTTTATAAAGAATGGTGTCAGCAATTTCAACATTCCCTGGAAGCAGTGGCAAGTCATATACCAGAGCACTGTGTGGCTAATTAAGAACCGGAAGGTTGAAGTCAATACGACAGTTTCGCTTCCCAAACATGTCAAAGGGCAAGCAGAAATAGACAGAACCACATAAACAATTAGAAGACATTTATCTTGAGCATAATTTATACAGCACTGCAGTGCAAAATCAATACCGTACAAACATGGAGGCACGCCAAGCCAAAGACACAAAAGATGAGGAAATACCCAGACAGGGCACAGAGTTTGTGGCAGCCAAAACTCTGCACGGGCTACGGAGCATGATAGGGCTTGGGTTAATCCATTCTTTAAGAGCAGAAAGCAGGCAGCAAATTCATGCAGCAGGGAGCGGAAGGAGGAGGAAACAATTGATCAAGCAATCAGAAAACACTAATTTGGGCATCATTGTTTGGCCTGACCTAGCACGAAAGGAGAGAGTTAGGACAAAGAGCTTTAGAGGAAGTTAAAATGATGACATCAGAGACTTGCCAGAGCAAAGGCTCACAACTTGGTAGAAACAAAAGGAAGGAACTAACTTTAGGAAAATTTCAAGGATCGATCTCGGAGTTTGTTACAGGCAAAAGGAAAGCCAGGCCATACACGTGACCATAGCGTTTCGCATCTTTTAGACCTGGCCCTCACACCTAACTAAATTAAGGTTTCATGCATAGCACGTAGAGGCTTGACTATACCGTTGGGTAACAACCTTAGCTGAAAAAGAGCTAGATTAAACATTTTAAGATGGCACTAACAGGCTACTTTCTAAAAACAGCAGTGACATTTCTACTTCAGCACTTGTTTGTGATCAAGCGCTCAGACTTTAACCACTAAGAATAACAATTATCTCGTTAACGGGAACATATTTTTGGCACAAGGAGATTAAGGAGTTTTTGTCTCAGTGAGACGCTCTGCATCTGTCAGCTCTGTATGATGTGACATTCACCTCTCCCAACCGCAGCAGAGAGGTGCACGCAGGACAGAAGAGCCTACCCCGCTACAAAGGGGTACACAGTTGTCCTCCCACAAGTGTCAGCTCACATTCAACACCCCCTTTCCAAAAAAAAGGTTAGTCGACTTACTGTTAACTGCAACCCATTCATTTAAGTCTTCACCCTCTGGAAGCATAACGGCCATCCGGAGATTACCACTTCCAAGCGTGGCTTCGGCATGTTTTAGCAGCTCGTACTGGTGAGAGCCCTCTGGAATGTTCTTCTTTGGTTTGAAGGTTTTGGAAGAGCGACTACCACTGCAAAACGGAGAGGAAATTTTTAGAGAACTTGTGGAAAGGGAAAGGAAAAAGAGAGGAGCCAACAAGTCACGCCTAAGCACAGATTTAACACTAAATACTTTCCCCGCTCCCATATTTTCATGTCGAAGAAGGATATGTAGCAAAAACCGGGATGCAAAAATAACACGTGCTTTGACTTGTTTTAAACAATTAAATGATTCTCCACTACGCTGCCTTCTCATCTGCTCACCCTACTCTTAAGCCAGCCGGACAAATGGGAACGCTCAGACTCCCTTCCCTCTCGCAGCAAATTGGATCACGGGCAAGACGAGAACAAAAATATTTCCTTCCCCAGAATTTGGACAGCTGCATATCGAGGATAGCAGCCCAGCCAAATAGAAACCTTCTTTACTCTGAACATTCGTGAAGCTTGTCATGGTAACTGAAGATACTATTTATTTAACAGAAAAACCCATGTTGTTTTTCTAACACTCACCATCATCAGACATGAAATGTCATCACACCTGCACAAGTGTAATAAGAAGGTAGAGACAGCCTGTTCAGACCCCTGTCTTCTCAAATCAGGTACAATGCGTTAAGTAGTTATCATTAATTCCTCAAAAACAAGCTGCTGTTACTTAGGAAAGCATACTTTCTGCAGGCCTAGCCGATTCAGAATATTATCTTAGCTACCAACATGAAATAACTTTTCCAGTATCTGCTATTGCTTAGGAACTTCTTTTTTAAAATACAGTTGCTCAAAAATACACAAACACTTTAGCTGAACACTGATACAATTCCACATTTTCCACAAGCTTTCTACATCATTTTCCCCTGGTTGCACAGGATACAGACCTTTCAGACCAACAGTTAGGCAAGAAATAAGGACGACAACTTTTACAACTTTCATATAAATCATTTTCTTACCCATAATTTTGTTTGAAAAACACGGACTGACTTAGAAAAAAGTGTAGATATTTGAATTTTAAAAGATGGCAGTGAGCCCGGATGATACATTAACCCCTAACATGTCAGCAACATGACGTGTAAAATTAAATATTTGCAGAAAAGTGTCAGGTAAGCCAATATTTGTGAATGTTTTAGTGCATGAGCTGAGAAAAGACTTCTGTCGGAAAAGGAAAATTGAGCTCTGAATTCCAGTGAAAGAAAGTGGAAAGATGTGAAACCCAGACAGCAGAATTTTCATTACAAATATTATCCAGTTCTCGTTTCTTTACATAAAAGACTTGGCCAATTTTTCACCATCTCTCTACAGGACTGAACAGAAATTTTAGTTAGTGAGGTTTAAGGGTTTTCCCCGGCTCACTAAATATTTAAACTACGTGTTTGAACATGCAAAGGTTGTAGCTTATCTTTGGGGCAATGCTAGTGTAGCTACACTGTCACACAGAAGCACTCTAAGAAAACTTCATTCTGCATCGCGTTTTCCCCACCACGCCGCACTACAGCCATCAACGGAAAATTAACAAAGACGATCACTCGTTTCTACAATCCTAAATGGCAACAGCTCTAGCAGAGATGCAATGCGCACCAAAGAACAGAACAAAAATTGTTCTTTCCCAAACATATAATGACAGGTGATCGAGAACATGTCATTTGCCAAGGACGTGACAAAACTGCCTAGCAGTGAATTAAGTCTCAGTTTAGACCTGAACAAGAGCAGTGGAAGAAGAAAACATGCTGAAACCGGAGTTAAATAATGAGTTCCCCAAATTCTTCTGGGCAGGTAACAACAGCTTTGCAGGTGCATCTTTGGGTATTGAACAGATCCCACAAGTCCGGCTGGTTAGAGATTTACATGGTCCCGGTGCTACTCTGACCCTCCCTTGCTACAAAGGAGCAGCAGCATCCTCCCCCTCCCCTAGGCCTCGGGACTAATCCTGTTTTCTAATCCTCATAAAGAAGCACTTGGCTGGACTAACAGGGATCATGGGATGATACAGTTGAACAGGCCACGTACATTCACACAGACACCAGAACAACACTAATGCAGTCAGCTACTAAATACAACTAAAAGCCAGAAGTATGAAGAAAAAAACATATGGCTCCCATATATTCTGTTACAGGACACCTCTAACGTGCACCCAGTCATTTGCATTTCACTCTAAGTAGGATACCAGATTCGAATCTTAAATAAAATAATTGCCTCCCAGTGGGAGTGAGAAGCTTTTGTGGCTCAGGGAGTTCCCTTCACCTCCCAGCCCTCCAGCCACCTGCATCTGTTGCCAGGCCAAGTTCAAATCAACTCTGAATAAAAAGCAACTTAAAAAACCCAAACAAACAAACAAAAAACCAAATCTTTTAACTGACTACTTAAAGACACAAGTTTTTCTCTTCAGGAACATATCCACTTCATAGCCACTACGCCAAAACAGAGGGTAAAAATACAACTTAAACCATCTGGCAACTGCTTTGCTGTGTGGCTCCACGGACAGTGCTGACGCAAGGTAATATTCACAACAACCGAAGAGCAGGAGAGCCAGGTATCGTTATCTTTCCGCGCGTGTCAGTGTAAGCAAAAGAAAAACAGCAAATGCTAAACACAACCACAGCTCTTCCTAACTCGCTTACAAGATTTTGTTCTCACTCCAACACGACTAGACAATGAGGGAAACCAACTCTTAATACTTTCATGAAAAGCAAACAGACTTAACACCACCCCAAAGCTCAGGTCATTCATTCATCATAAAAGATAAAGGAAAGTAAGAGATTCCCTCTCCCCACACCGCTTACATAGAATCCCCAACTCCTAAAACTGAACTCCTGCTTTCACCGTGTTTCAAAACCTAACGTACATCAGCTTCTGTTTCGTAACACTGTCATTTTCATACAATGACGAAGACTGAAAAACTTAACTGCTGTAACTGGTCTGGTGCAGCTGCCCGCGGCAGGATCTACAAGCTCATTACAGCGACTACTACTGGGTGCATGGAGATCCCCGAGGGTGATGAGGAAAGCTCTACCCAGACAGAGAGAGCACCTACCAAGAGGATTCAGATCACAAAGGGCAGCACCCCACTTACAGCTTCAGCAGAAAATCTTTGTTCGGGACGAGGAGATGGTATAGAAACGTACGAAGCAGTAACTGGAAAAAGGTTATGAAATAACCAACCCAAGAAACCGTTTGGATTTTAGCAAAAAGGGTAAGCCAACAGAAGGGATGAGGGTTTGAGAACAAGGCACAAGGAAAGCATGGTGAAGGAGCTCCCTAAATAAAATAGTTTATTTTTGGGAAAACTCTGGGTAGGAATTCACACCGTAACCACCTCAGATCGTGAGCTTGCCAGATAACAAACCAAGTCATCGCACATCTGTTGAATACCCAGCAGAGACCTTATATAGTCAAGGAAGCAGAGAATGCACAACACACTGGAAAATCATTAGGTATCACTTAATCCCTGCTGCCCCCTTCCCAGAAACGGGGCGTTTCTTCCTATAGCTGGCAAAAGCTGTAACCACAGAATACACAATGATTTGGTCTCATCAACTATTCCAAATAAGCCATTCCGTATTTGCCTCCACTACCTTTCTGATCACTACTTCTCAAATTCAGCATAGCCATCCTAAGACAGCAGGAAATGGTCTCAAACGAAAGGCAGGCAGGCATCCAAAAGGAAAAGTAATTAGGATAAATGCAGGCTGCTACTCCTCGCGTGCTATGGTAGTATCTGCAATTTTGGCAATAACTTATCAGAATTCCATGCATTTATGCAGTTCACCATATGTGAAGCCAATTAACTGCATGCATGGTCTTATACTCCTGGATACAAAACAAAAGTTCAGGGACTCAACAACTTAATACAGCTTCTCTAAGTCAAAACCTTTACAGGACACGTTTGCTCTTGGGAAGTCTGTTGCTGCAAACATTATTTCAACTACCTTATTGGTTCAGAAGCTCTCCTATTATTTAGTATCATCCTCATTTATTTATGCCTCAGCACCATCAGTTAACTACCCCTTCAAATGGTAATCCTGGTTCCTCCCTAAACCCTGACCACAGCAGCATCTTATTCCTGCTATCCTACATTATGATTCCCAACACTGAGCTGAAGGCATCTTAAAAAAACCAAGACAAATAAATAGTAATTTTTTTTTCCTATTATGTCCATCTGTTACACGTGACAGATTCAGAAAGATGTCTTGTTCCAGGTCTATTTCCCCAACTCTCGAGCATTCTGTGAAAAAAGTAACTTTAAAGAATTCTGTCTGGTGGCCAACAATACACACAGTAATAGATGTCTCGATCAAGTATGACATTTTATTTTCACCTACATTCCATAATAGAACTAGCTGTTTCTGTGAGCCATTTCTCCCGAGTTTTTAAAATGCTCCGAGCTAGTAGGCAGCACCTGCCTTTCCCTATTAAGAGTCTCTGACCTCTCCTTCAGTTTCAAAACATGACATTAATGCAGAAGTAAAAAGGGATAGAGGAAACCCTCAGAAATGCCACACTGAAGATCCCATTTTCCTTGGACTCAAAAAGGACATGAAATGGGGAACACGTTGCATCATCCCCACTATTTGTCACAAACAATTTCTAGTCTCCCAAGAAAAACTGACTTCTCAAAAAATTCTTGCAATTCCAAGGACGTTTCGCTCCTTTCACTCCCACATCCAACATTTCTAGCAAATTATGGCCTTCTATTTTTACAGGTAAGTACAGCTACAGCAGCGCCAGATGCAGTTCAGCCTAGCACTAAATCAAGAGATGTGTTTAAAGCCATTGACTCACTGAGCCGGGATGAGTCTGGAAGCCTGGCTGGGAAGCCACGCCTCCGAGCCACAGAAGCGCTTCCCGCTGTCAGAAGCCCACGCGCCGCTTGGCCTCACGAAGACGTCACAACTTGCTTGTAAGCAAGAACACAAAATTTCCTCCAAAGCTGTAATTTTATCTAGTCATCTGCTGACAGGGAGGGTTTTTAATGATGCAGATTCTGCTGGCTGTTCTGTCTTAGGTTAGCAAGATGATGCTTCCAGAAGAAAGGAAAATTTTCAGGCGTCCTGCTTGCACCACACTTAACCAAGCTGCCTCAACAGCCCATTTCAGCTTCAGATGCAGCACTGGCAGATCTTTTACCATCAAAGCAGCTAAATATCCAGCCTAAGCTCTTGACACGCTTCTTGTTAACTGCAGGAAAGGAGCCACTTAAACTTTCGCACTCTTAAGAGCAGCACTTTGGCTGGCCTGGCTTAGACCTCCTCACACCCAACTATTTGTGTACTGGAGTCTTTCAATAGAGCTTTTTATCTGTTTTCATGAAGTCTGCTGCATATCCCAGGAAAGTTGAATTAAAAGAGAAAAGTTTAGGCTCCTTATGCATAAAACTTAAGACTTCACAGCTCGTTCTTACCACAGAACTAACCTCAAGCTCTTACCTACTGTTGTGTCTAACACGGCTGAACCCGACAAGCAAAAAACCTTGTCCTGAATCTAGCGTGCGTCACGATCAAACAGATAGATGCAGATCGAAGCCCAAATCCTGCCTCTGCCCAGGCTCCCAACCTATCCATTTTGCAGCAGCACCACAACTTAAACGACTGAAATACTGGCAGTGCTCCAAAATCTTCCTCAAATTCCTCGAGTGAACAAAACCAGACCAAGTTATCCCATAATTCACTAACAATTCATTACGCATCTTAAACTAATGCAGAACTTACAAAGTATGCGATTACTATGCCATTGGCAAAATAGAAGAAGGAGGAGAGGAGACGCCACCCTGGAGAAGATGTAAGAATCTGAAAACCGTTTTTTTTTCCCCCGCACACCTACTTGCACATGACATACCAAACTGACATGTTCTACAAGAAATTAAGATTTTATTTTAAAATACCACAAGCATTCAACCTCCATGGGAAGTATAGAGAGCACTGCTCCTCCAATCTGTTTCAGGCTACCTGTAGGGTCAAGAACACAGTGCTGCAATTACCGTAAATCATTTCATACAGGGCTCATCAGTGGACTGTTTTATCAAACACTGGAAAGGACAGAAACTTGCCCTGGGGAAAAATAAATAGAAAACGCCGCAGTGGCACCATTTTCAGGATACACCTGCCACCTATATTCTTCTAATTGGTATATAATGCTGAGGCCATTGCATATAATCTTTCTGTCTTTCCTTGGGGGAACACGCGAGTAACTAATTTCTGCAAGTATAGCTATACCACTCCTTGTCTCCCAAAAGCGTTCACCACCACAGTGTAGCTGAAATAAGCCCCTCAAAATATGTGGAAGCGCTCAAGAGATTCTGAAAAAGTCAAACGCAAGAGAGTACACAGAACATTTACGTGGGGCATGGAAACTTTTCATATTTCAACTCCTGCTTTTTCATCTTCAAAGGCCTTTGCAAGCATTAATTAATCCTCACAAAGTATCTTTGAAGTAGGCATCATTAGCGTCTTGTTAGACACAGGGAAACTGAGGCAGCGACTCATCGCCAAAGGCCAACGACTACATTTATCAGAGAAGTCCCCAAGTTTTAGTTCTGTACTGCCTTGTCTCCTTTCTCCTGCTGCGCCTCTTTTTAAACCCCTATACACAGAAATGCTGTAAGGCGAGAACCAAATTCCAGAAAAGCAAACATTTCAAGCCTTCAAACAATAATATGGGGCTTCAAATGATAACATCCTGCCAACAATAGACACATCAGAGTATGATCATGTTAGTTTCCAATAGCCAACACATCAGCACAGAAATTAAAATAAAAGCCCAAGCTACTTTTTGGAAATCAAATCAATAGTTGCAGCATTTAAACACATTTTCCCTGTGACAATCACAGCATCAGGAAGACTGAAGGTAAAACCAAGTTGTGCATGTTCAAAATCAGCACCAACAAGATTTAACTTGAGCATTTCTATTTACAAAACTGAGTAGTCACAACACTTCTGTTCTGAAGAGAGACTGTGTGTGAGCCAGGCATTACTTTATTCAGCTCTTACAATACCAAGAAGTCAATTATTTTCCAGTCAAATCCCCACTCATTAAAACCAGCCTGACTCACACGGTTCACTTCAATTTGGAGGTAACAAATCCAGTGTAAGAATTAAGGAAGTAAAGCATTCCACAACCTTGTGTTCCTTTGACGTACCACCATGCATCAGGTCTGAAGACAAATAAAGTAACCACCAACTTAGGACAGAGAAAGACGGCCAAGGAAGCTTCAATCCCATGCTCAGAGCTTACAGGTGCAACGGGCCAGAGAAACGAGTTCTTCTGCCAGGCTCTGGGGCAGGATGAGAAACCTGAGAGCCCAACTATTCAAGAGCTAAAGACAATTTTGAAAATGCTGTTCTACTCCCCGATATTACTTCCCATGAAGATGACTATGAGACCCCTTGAACAGAGCGGGCTAAGGGTTTGAAATGAGACATGGTGCTACCAGTCCAGTCAACTCAAATTCAGAAGACTGAAGTGCTCCAGGACAGTACGATACTGGGTTACAACGCAACATCAAGAGGTATTTGAAGGCTGTTCAACACAGTCCCAGAGTTAAGAGCCAGCAAGCACACGGCTAAGTAGAGACTCTAAGTGCACAGGCTGACAGCTCTCACCCTGAAAAATGTCCCTCTGTGTAAATTCTTCAGATACAGTCACTGTATTATTCTGAGCACCAATAAAAGCAACACACTTCTGAAGAGCATTCCCATCTAACAAAAATAACTTTCACAAACATGAAGCTGTAAAAAGTATAATTCTCTTGACATGGAGGGAAACTCAGACTCTGCCAAGATCACTAAGCAAATCAATAAAGAGTTAAGAGCTGCCAACTCTTTACACAACATAGCTGCTCTCCCAAAAGGTAAGGCAATGGTTAGAAAGCAATTCCAGGCCCAGGGTTTTTGTTTTGCTTTGTGTCTTCATTTGTTTTTTTTTAAGAAAGAATCAGTTGCACTGATCTGAAAAATTTCCATAGACACATGGTCATTCCTACAGAAACAGAATCCATGTTGTTTATTGTTTATTCACTCTATGGTAGGAAACAGTAAATAAAAATACTTAGATCAATGGCACACAGCTGGTTTCCCAGTGTAGCTAGTATGAGATATAAGAATAACCTAAATTGTCTACTACACCTAGAATAAGTCACTGAAATTAGAAATATCAAAGTGAAAAATGGTGAGAGTAAGGGCGCCTAAGAAATGATTGTTCCCAAAGCTAACACTGCACTTGGTAACCAAGAGGCCTCCACTTTATAAGGAATGTCTTTGTGATTAACTCACCTACTGCCTGCCCAAGCCACAGCCAGTTGCCAAGGCTACAAAAGACCGGTGCCACGCTTTATAACCCAAGGAGTTGCTTTATAACCCAAGGAGTTGGAGCCAAGTTACTTCTCTGCAGATTTCAGCACGCTCCTTCTGCAGCACTGTCATTAGGAAAGCAGTGTGGAACATCTTCAGGAAGACTCAAATCTGCCAATTAACAATTAGGCTTCCAGACATTTCTGTGCAAACCCATCCCCGTCATATCCCCACAGTGGCTCCTGCTCGCTCAAAAACCGGATCGCTTCCTACGCTGAGCCGTCCCTTTCAGACGCCGGACCCCCTGTTGCAAGGAAGGGAGCTTTCTTTCCGCCTCCCAGTGACAGGCTCTCCCCACCCACAGGCTGGCCCGGAGGCCCGGCCGCACCTTCCCCTTGGCCAAGGGAGTGACAGGCGCTCACCACCCCGAGTCTGGCCAGGAGGCCCGGCCGCACCTTCCCCTTGGCCAGGCGCCCGGCGGTGGGTCGGGCAGAGCGGCTGCAGCTCCTGCCCGGGCCAAAGGCCTCTCCAGGGGAAGCAGGCAGACCCTGCTCCGCTCACGTCCCCTCCTTGCGGGCGCTTCTGCTGAGCGTGGCCAAGCTGCCCACGGCAGCTGTTTCTCCGCAGATCTCTGCGGCGGTTCTTTCCCAAAAGCCCCAGGCCCTCGAGCTTAGCAGCTGAACAAGAAATTCAGATTTAACAATAAATAAACAAATCCCGAGGTAACAGATACAAAACACAACTTTCCACAAAAGGCAGGGGATCCTTTCAGAAGAGAAAGGAAGGAAAAAGCTTAGTTTCAAACACAATTTTTTAAAATATTGAACACCACGCTTAAAAAAAAAAAAGCCACCAGCAAACGTGAATCAAGAAGTTTGCCCCCACAGACCGGGGGAATTTAAAACAATGTCCTTATTTTTCAGCACATGGAATTGAGAACGATGGCAATACAACACAGGTTATTCCCAAAACAAGAGCCTCGTCAGATGGCTGGAAATGGAATAAATACATATGCAGACAAAACCCCAAATCCCACTTTTGTCTTTTCAGTGAAACACTGTTATCCACCCTTCCTCACCCCACCCTTTTTCCTTGCTACACCACGGACTAAGTTCAATTTTCTGTAGGCCTTTCAACCTGAACATGCTTCTCAAGGGGTATAGTACAGCGACTGTTATCATTATAACTGATTCGAAGTAGTGCCTCTTTCTACCAAAGTCCTGACAGTGAAACAGGTATTTTTATGAGATTTTTAATTCTCTGCCCATCAAGGCAGGGACTGAAATCTGGCTTCTCCTTCTCGGAAAAATAGCTTTCTTCTTAGATTGAAGTTCCACACAGGATGGTATGAGAGGAGGCAGAAGAAAAAGTCATCATCTCGTCAATAGCTCTTAAAAAGTACAAGTATCATTACACACAAGACTCTACATGTTAAAAGAGCAGAAGTTTATCAGATGATTCACATCCAGTAAGGAGAAAGTTATTTAAGGTAGCCTGAAGGCATGGTTTTGCTTTTGCTTGTCCCAACCATCACCACCCAGTGTTGAAAGCTGTCATAACACGTACACGTCCACATTCTTGAAATACTTTTTTTTTTCTTCTATACATACACATTTTAGAGTCAGTGAAATCAAGCAAAAGTGGGATTCATCCAGCACAAGTCAGATGCTCCTACATGCACCAGAACACAGCTGAAGACAAACTTTCGCTGGCTGAGCTATGACTAGGGCACAGGTGACCAGCCCTTGGAAACTGGCCATTTAACTCTTCCCTCTGACACATGCCCTCGCTTGCCCTGCAGCGGCACACCCGGTGCCAAATCCACAAAGATGTTAGGTGGCCACAGACCGTTTTCTAGCCGAGCCAGGCACCTACACTTCTCCGCGTCTGTCCGCCTCCGTTTTTCCGTCTGCGAGCTCAGAATGTGCCTGTAAACAAGGGGGAGGTGTTATGCTCATGTCTACTGCAACCCCACCCATGTAGGTGGCAATGGTGTTCCTGCTGTTTACCCAGTTGGATGCAACCCTTCTCCCAAGTAATCACAACTCCTAACGCAAGGAACAAGCAAGCGTCCAAACACCATCCCGTAACCAGGAAATCATCATCAGTTTGCTATGCTCACACACAAAATAAATTCCCTTGTTTCATTTACATCATGTTCATTTAATACACTTTCCTCTCCTGGAAAATCCTCAAAACAAACAAAGCAAGTCACAATTGCCCTCACTGGATACTACCAGAGCTCTGTCTGTGCACTCAAAAACACAATTAAACTAATTCCCAGAGCAGCCAACAGTTGCGGAAGTGACTCAACTTCTCAAGCCTTGTCCTCTGTTGGACTAACAGCAGTGCTGGGCAATGGAAGGAGAGGGACAGGCCAGAGACACAAAAGTAGTATACAAGAGTATCCATCAGACAAAAACTTGGATGAAAAAAGAAAGAAGTACACATTCAGCCAAGCATGCCCTATTGCCTTGCAGAAACAAGCCGGCAGACATGCAGAGAGCAGAGGAACTGCAACATGTCCGTGGTATAAAATCTCCAGCCTTCCAAAAGGCTCACTCTGCGTGTTTTATTAATGTCACTGCCCTGCTGCTCCCCAGTTTCTCCACGGACTTTTTCAAGAGCTTTAAGACCACCAAACATCACTTGAAACAAGTTTTCACTCCAATCTGCAAGGAAGAAGCTTTTAGCAGAGACCCAAGCATGTTCTCCTCCGACACCCATTTGAAATCCTGTTACGTGAGAGATAACAAGATCGTCCAGAATGTTTTGCTGCACGCTCCCAGGTACCCAGGGACTACCTTGAGGCAAACGCAACACTGTCTTCACTCACAAATTTCTGCCTTGTTACAACCAGAAGTTAGATTTTTAAGAAAGCTCAGGACTGGTCTTGGCGGTTTTGTTGGGTTCTTTCAATTAGATCCAGGTTCCTCAACTATTTTAATACTAACATTTACTGTGTACACACACACACGCATCATGGAACTGTAGGGCATAATCAAAACCAGATTTATTTCTGCAGATTCTGATATCCTAATATTCATGTACTACTACTTTAAAAGAGCAGGCTACTAGCAGCTTGCGAGAAGGTTAACACAAAGTATTCCTTCCTCTCCAACTGCTTTGTTTTTTCCCCACAGACCACTGAGATGGAGTTCAGTATCTTTACCATTTCAGTCAGTAATTAAGCTCTCTGCAAACTAAATAGCACTATTTTCTCACTAATGTTCCCCTCTTTTCTCAGGAAACCCTTACTTCTGTCAATTAGCATTAGCTCGCTTAAAAGGGAGGGCACAGCACGAATTCGAACAGAAGTTAGAACTCCACCCAGTTACGCTTCAAAGTTTAGTTTCCGCGAAGGTTCAAACCTCAGTTTACTGCATGAATGTACCTAATAAATCACTCAGTAGACATAACTACACTTCTTTTGCAAAACCTATCCTTTCCTATACATAAAACTTGGCACTAAAAAGCCATTTGAACACTTATTTCTGCTGTACATGACTGCATGGTGCATTTTCCTTTGAAGAAAGAGGACTCAATCAAGCTGTAAATAGTAGACTACCGAAAGAAGCTGAAAGGTTACTGAAAAGGATGCTGTACGTACCTGCAGCAAGGATTGCTTGTAGGAGAACTCATGCCACAGAGAAGGCAGTTCTGCCCCATGGCAAGCAAATTCAGAAACAACTAAGTCAAATGCCTGTGACACAAGATTATATAACATTTTTTAACGAAAGTATACCTGCATGCCCCATACCCATCGAAACCTGCAGAAAGACTCAACCCTGTGAAGTCTGCAGTCCAAACCATCTCAGATGGTCTCCCTCTAATCTGTTACATGCATAATGAAGACACAGACCCAAGAGCAAACGCAGGAAGAAGAACATTTGCCTATTTTTGAGAAATTCTTAAAAACCTGTCACTCCGATGTTTCCAAGAAAATGTCATGTTCTAAAGGAAAACAATTACACGGAGGGAAAATGCTTGGTAACACATGTGGGAGTGAGGATGACACAGCACATGTTATGCAGACGCATGGAAACATGAAAAGCAGTATTAGACAATTCAAACGTCATGCAGAACATAAGGGAACAGAACAGTATTTTTTTTCCTTTTTAAGAGGGAAGCAGTAACATTCAAGTCCTGGCCTGGCAGTCAACAAGAGAGGGAAACAAATCAACCACAGAATATGAGCATCCACCGATGATCAGAAATTAAAAATAGAAAGTACCATTACGGATGCGACTAAGCAAATTATAAAAGAAATATAAGGAAATATATAAAGCTACAAGCCTGGGTTATTTCTTTCAATAGCACATCTGACTGTGTTTAAAGAAAAGATACTGGAAACATTAATT